GTGTGTGTGTGTGTGTGTGTGTGTGTGTGTGTGTGTGTGTGTGTGTGAGTGAGAGAAGAAAAGAGACTGATCACAGTGTTCAACCATCTAGTGGTGCTTAGTTTGCATTGTGGATTGTGACACAATGAATTATCATATTAAATCCCTAACTTTCATTTAGCAATAAATCAGCAAGTTTAAAAGTTTTTTTTTTTTTTTTTTAATTCATTCAAGAGGAGCTGTTTAATGACAAATTCAATTCATGGCCCATTCAGGGACCTCAGCTGATGTTAACATATTGCCAGTCATCCTGTGGGAACCCACCGAATGCAAAAACTCAGAGTTGTCTTCTTAGTTGCTGCACTGAGAACATGATTGCTTCCTCAAATTAAAACAAATTGTGGTGACTTTTCAATGCAAATGATAAATGGATATACCTGTAATATTGTTTTTTTCTTTTTCTTTTCTTTTGAATTTGACCCTTCAGTCGAAACACCAGGGGAACGAACGAGCCAAAACATCCCTTTTTGTCCCTAATAGAGATGTGATCAAATCATTACATTGACCGCAGACCAGTTTTGCTTCTTTGTAAAACTACAGTGTAAAGGAACAAGTGAGCTGTTGAGCTGCCTACATTATTTTGTTAATAAATACAGTATATACAATATATACAGTTAATAACTGTATGAATTGAATAACCTCTGACTCGCACGCTATTCATCAAGTAAAGTGAGTTTTGGAGAGCCTATGGGTACAATTGATCTGTTAAAATGTCATGAAGATAGAATGTGAAGCAGAATGACGAATGACCAGTGGCAGGGTGCTCCTGTAAAATTACTACTGCAAAGAAATTGCAAAGCGATGAAACCACAAACTTTTTCACCATCATATACAACGTCTGTTCTTATTGTGGCATTCCAAGCCTCTGTTTTGGCTGTAGCGCTCATTATCAGAATGGCCCTTCGATTAAAGCCCTGAGGAGGCGTTTCAGAGCCAGACCCTTAATGCCATCTGGTTTACACTGTAACAGTTCCACCAAGAAAACAGTCGTCCTCTTATTTTGTGTGTGTATGTATTTGTTTGTTTGGGCAACTGCTGCTAAGCTGTTCTGCTCAGACTGTTACATGCTAATCAGTCGATTCCAGACAGGTGGAAGTAATAGCCGTCAGTGGTTTTATCGTCTCTAGCCCTGTTAGCTTCATTAGCTAATCACAGGCACAGATGCTCTGTTGCAAAGGAACCACTTGGGTTTTCCATTCGCCCCTCAGCTCCCAATCTCCCAGTTCCTTGCCTCCCAGTTCCCCCAGGCATCTGCCTAGCCTCGATATTACACAACACAGCCAAGTTTGTAGGTTGGTATCTGTCTTTGTTTTCCATCTTGGGCTATGTGTGAGACACTGTCAGCTGTGCTTTTGACTACAATCTCCCATTGTTACTGTTACACTGGATTGGATTTAATAGCAGTTTGCCATCCATCATTTTGGTGGTGGTCTGACACTTTGGTTTACATTTTGGATTGAGCAAAATGATGTTCAAGTAAGTCAAGGTCACATATTGTATTATTGCTTATTGGACTGGATCACCTACAGTTTTTTTTCAATGCAGTGTTTGACTGATATATGGACGAATATATACATATATAAATGCATGGACTACAATTTCCTCCTTTTCTTTACAGAAAAATGTAATCTCTCTTCTTTCTTCTTCATTGCCTCTCTCTTTTTTTTGTCTCCCTGTGATTCTGACCGTCCTTTTCCTTTCCTCCTTTCACCAGGGTCGCCATGTTAAGACAGGGCAGCTGGCAGCCATCAAGGTCATGGATGTCACCGGGGTAAGACACACACACACACCTACACTCGTGTGTTCACTGCACGAGCACACGCGCACGTACCCACGCACGGCAAATCATCTCAAGTAGTTATACCACCGCCGTCGACCGTGTCATCTAATTATGAGTCTGTGTGTGTGTGTGTGTGTGTGTGTGTGTGTGTGATATGTGGCAGAGAGGAAACGAGGACAGGCCTATTGCCATGGTAATGTTAGCTGGAGGTATTAGGACAGCAGTGTAGTCTCAGGCGTGTCTGTAAAGCGGGAGAGAATCTCAGTTCTTGTTCTATTTAGAGATCCTCTCACCTGACAGCTCCCTGTCAGCACTGCAGGGATGATGCAACAAAGGAACTGATGAATGAATAGAAGCATGAATGACTGAATAAGGGAATTAACATATGCAGGTGTTATGGAGATGAATAATCAAATTAGTGTGAAAAAGGAAGTATGAACAATAAACAAAGACATGCAACTGTGTATGAATGGCTGTGCATGAATAAATCTGCTTCAATACAATAAAAAATAAATGACTATTAATTGATGATTGAAAATTAAATTGAGGGGAAAACACAAAATTGGCAACTCAATGAGCCGCTACTGTACAAAATCAGCTTACTTAAACAAGCGTTTGTGTTTTCGCGGCACACTAAATGAACACTAACTTGAAGTAATCAAGGCATACATTTCTGCCATTGTGCTTAATAAATAAGGACTTACAAGTAAGTAACCAACTGCCACCACGGCAACTTGTTTCAAACAACTGCTTTTTAGCTCTGTGGCAGTAAGCCCCTACAACGAAAGTAATTAAAAAGTAATGCTATTGTGGATAATTTAGCGCCCAGCTGTCTGCTCTGCAACAACAGTTTGTTCTGAATTTAAATGGATCCAAAATGCAAATCCATCAACAACTCCATTCCTTTTGCTCAATCACCATCCTATTAATATGTGTGAGGGGTCACAAATAGAGGTCGCGGTTTAATGCCTGTTGATATCTCTCTTTTCCTGTGTGTGTGTGTGTGTGTGTGTGTGTGTGTGTGTGTGTGTGTGTGT